AGCAGCTGTTACTGAAAGGAATTTGAGAGAGGGAGGGCTGTTTTTGCAGCTGCCTGAGGAGAGCTGGTTCAGAGAGCCTGCCAGGAAGCTGCTGCACCTCGGGAGCAGCTGGAACGTCCTGTCTCTTTTGCATCCTCGCAGTTGTGACGTGTCAACGTTCTCTCAAGATGCCCGCCTTCAGAGAGTATAGTTTCATCCTGTGGAGTGTAATCTTGATCTCTCAAGGCAATGCTTTCTTTTTTCTTTTTTACTTTTTATTGAGATTATGATAGTTTACAACCTTGTGAAATTTCAGTTGTACATTATTGTTTGTCAGTCGTGCTGTAGGTGCACCACTTCACCCTTTGTGCCCACCCCCGCTTCCCCTGGTAATCATTAATCTGTTCTCTTTCTCTACATGTTTAACTTCCACATATGAGTGGAGTCATACAGAGATTGTCTTTATCTGGCTTATTTCACTTAACATACACCCTCAAGGGCCATCCATGTTGTTGTGAATGGGACAATTTTATCCTTTTTTATGGCTGAGTAGTATTCCATTGTATACATATACCACATCTTCTTTATCCAGTCATCAGTTGCTGGGCACTTAGGTTGCTTCCACGTCTTGGCTGTTGTAAACATGCTGCAATGAATATTGGGGTGCATGGGACTTTTGGAATTGCTGATTTCAGGTTCTTAGGATAGATACCCAATAGCGGGATGGCTGGGTCATATGGTATATCTATTTTTAATTTTTTGAGAACTCTCCATACTGTTTTCCATAGTGGCTGCACCAGTTTGCACTCCTACCAGCAGTGTATGAGGGTTCCTTTTTCTCCACACCCTCTCCAACATTTGTTACTTTTTGTTTTGGTTATTTTTGCCATTCTAATAGGTGTAAGGTGATATCTTAGTGTAGTTTTGATTTGCATTTCCCTGATGATCAGTGATGATGAACATCTTTTCATGTGCCTATCGGCCATCCGTATACCTTCTTTGGAGAAATGTCTGTTCATGTCTCCTGCCCATTTTTTGATTAGGTTGTTTGATTTTTTGTTGTTGAGTTGAGTGAGTTCTTTATATATTATGGAGATTAACCCTTTGTTGGATATATGACTTGCAAATATTTTTTCCCAATTAGTGGGTTGGTTTTTTGTTTCAGTCCTGTTTTCCCTTGTCAAGGCAATGCTTTCTTAATCAGTTATCTAGAATTTCATTAAAATTGGCATCTTTGTTTTTGAGGGGACCCAAAGCATCTTGGGAGATTTCCTGCACATCTCTCTTTACAAATAATGTAAAAAGATACAGATAAACTGAAGATTATGACAGAATATATGGAGACCTCCTCCCCGCCCCTGGCACTTTTGTGATTCTCATCTAGATTGTCAACTGATTTTTACTGTGTCTCTGTGTTGCCCTCACTAGACAGGGGCTCCTTGCTGGGAAGGACTCGCCAGAATCAGAACCTGCCTCCCTTCTTTCCTTCAATCATTGGACACGCACTTGTTCATGCCTTTGATGGACGGACACAAAGGGAGGCTCTTTGAATGCACTTAAATTAATAGAACAAGCCTTTGTTCTTCATTGTATGTGTAACGACGTGGCTTGTGCTGGCAGCAACAGTGGTGTACATGAGGCCGACAAAGTCTTCCAGCTAAAACCAAGTCATAATGGTTTCCCCAATTTACAGGAAAAAATTAACTTAGAAGTTGTCAATTTTAAAGGTTTTGCCTTTATAAATTTTTCTTAAAACGCTGGTGTCTACTACCACTTGTCTATAATAGAATCTGGAATGACGTAATGCGTAATAATAACTGTTGAGGGGCCGGCCCGGTGGCGCAGCGGTTAAGTGCGCACGTTCCGCTTTGGTGGCCGGGGTTCGCCAGTTCAGATCCTGGGTGCGGACAGGACACTGCTTGGCACGCCATGCTGTGGTAGGCGTCCCACATATAAAGTGGAGGAAGATGGGCATGGATGTTAGCTCAGGGCCAGTCTTCCTCAGCAAAAAGAGGAGGATTGGCAGATGTTAGCTCAGGGCTAATCTTCCTGAAAATAATAATAATAATAATAACTGTTGACACTTTTACAGTCCTTCCTAGGCACTGTTCCAAGCATTTTATAGACATTAACACATTTAATCCTCACAACAACCCTGGGGGGGGTGCTATTATTATCCCTATTTTACAGATAAGGAAACTGAGGCACGGAAAGGGCAAGCAACTTGCCCAAAAGTCCACATAGCAGGGAAGTGTGGAGGATCCTAAGCCCAGGCAGGCTGTCTCCAGAGTCCCCTCACTTATTCTATCCCACCACACTGCCGTTTAATCAAGCACTAAGTTGTGTCTTTAAATTATTATATGTTTACTATGTTAATATTCACAGAATTCTGCAAGCCACAGTCGCTTCCAGGGCTCTGTCCCTGGCATAGTAGGATCAGCCTGGATTAGGAGTCAGAAATGCCTGGGTTTGAATCCTGTCTATACCACCTACACGGTGGGTGACCTTAGGCAATTTGCTAACCTCTCTGAGAGTCAGTTCCACAAGGAAATCACAGGGCTGCAATGAGGAGGGAACAAGATGCCTGAGCCAAGGCCTGGCCGCGTGCCTTTGAACCCAGGGGTCAGCCTCTGGCAGCTTTGTTCTTCCATCTATTTATTCGTTGATCCATTGGGCAAACACCAGATGGAGACAGAGGCTGTTTAGCGGCAGCTTCCAGATAAATGTTCTTTCTTTCCCCCTTCTCTCCCTAGAGAAGAGAAATTACCTCTAAATAGGGCCAAAAGTGATTGCTCATCACACAGGTGGTAAAACAATCTACAGAATTTCAGGGCGGGGAGGCATGACCTGTCCTTAAGGTATGAGAGCAATTGGAGAAGGCTCAGAAAGGTTGGCTCTGAGAATAGGTTGGCACTGGACAGGAGAGCAAGGCGTGCCAGGCAGAGAGAATGGAGAGAGTGAAGGCCTGCCAGTGAGAGGCACTGAGCATGTGCGGGTGAAGGTGCACAATCTCAGACACGCAGAGTAGCAAGAGAAAGGGCTCATTGTAGGATGGGGCCAGACTGAGCAGTCCTTGAATGACAGGAAAGAGTTAGGGTTTTGTTCAATAGGCAATGGGAAATCACTAAAACTTTTGATCAGAGGTCATCTGATCAAAAATGCACTTTGAAATTTAGATTGTGTCTAGGGTTCTTGAAAGATATAAGTTGGGAGACTGTTGCAACAGCCAGGGCAAAAAGCAGTGAGCCAGGGTGAAGTGTAATGGGAAGGCAGCCCTGCCCAGGCTGTAAGAAAAGGGCATACGACCTCCCCTCCACGCCACAGACTTCCTGCCCTGGCCTCACCCCTCACACCCTGGCCAAGGCTGACTGCTCGGCCTTTGCCCACCAGCCTGCCATCTGCTTCTGCCTCAACTCTGTCCTTGTCCCTTCTTTATTCCACCTCCCCAGGCTTTGCCTCCCGGCTTTGACGTGTCTACTCCACCTGGCTTAATCCTGTGTGGTAGTGATACCGGTGCCAACCCTTCTGGCTTGGCCCAGAGTTAAACATCCTGCCTTGTCATGCACATAAAGGCAGCGACACAATGGCAGCCTCGACCAGGCTGCTCCCCAGAGGGTGGTGGGAACAGAGAGGGAAGAGACTCAGGTGACACTGTGAAGGTAAGTCCATAGGATGTGGCAACTGTCTGGATATTGGGGTGCGAGCAGCTAAGGTGACCCTGAGGTTTCCAGTCTGAGCAGGAGGATGGTGAGGCATGAAGAGAAATGGCGCTGGTGTAGGGGAAAGACTTTGAGTTTAGCATAGGGAGATGTCCAGGTGGAGATGGACCCACAGGGCTTCCAAAAATGGAACTGGAACCTGGGGAGGGCTCAGAGCTGGAGAGAAAGATGTGAGGAATCAACTATGTCACCAGCATAAATCACCGCTGAGGGGTTTCTGTGTGCAGGCACTTCACACATACTCTCTATTTAACCCTCACCACAACCCAAGGAGAAGGCACTGTTCTTACTTTATCAATGAGGAAACCAATGAGGAAAGCACAGCAAGGCTAAGCATCTTGTCTGAGGTTACACAGCTAGCAGGCTGCTGGGATGGGATTTGAACCCACGCTTTGACTCTGAGGTCATTGCTAAACCAAGAACTGGTTTGGGCACCTAAGAGCTGGTTCCATGGCCAAGACAGAGGGGCCGAGTGCGTGGGGCCAGCAGAAGCCCCAAACTGGGAGAGGGAGGTGGGAGCTCAGGAAGAAGCCCAGGGAAGGGAAAGTGAAAATGCAGAGAACTCAAGGAGGGGCCTCCTGTGCTCCAGGCACTAGCTGGGCATCTTCCGTGCATCCTGTCATTTGTTCTCCCCACAACCTTGTGAGTAGGGAACTGTTAGAGTCATTTTACAGATGCAAGGAAATGAGGCTTTGAGAAGTCAGGTGACTTGCCCAAGGCCACACAGCCTGTTCCTGGTGCAGCCGAGATTCAAACAGGAGCCTGTTGATTCCAGAGCCTGGCCCCTATCATTCTGCATACAGCCTCCTTAGCGACCTCATCCCTCATGCCTGGCAGAGAATCATCGGACTCAAGCCCCCTCCCCCGCCCTGCTCAGATGGACAGGACTTTGCCTCTGCTCTTGCTGAGCTGCCAGCCAGAGGCAAAGTCCAGAGCTACTCCTCATCCAGCCTCCCACTACCTGTCCCCTTAGCCCCCAGGAGGCGCACCCTCCTCCAGGCCACCCCTGACCTTTCCTGGGGCTCAAGCCCCTTTCTTCCCACAGAGCTCACTGGGGACCCAACATAGAAGGAGAAAGAAGGGTGAGAAGAGGCCTTTAGGGGACAGAAAGGAGTGTTTGGGGTTCAGAGAGGTTGGAGGGAGATGGGGGAGGTAATAGAGTTAGATGGAGACCAGAGGACACTTAGCCTTTTGGTGGGGGTGCGGGATAAGGGACTGAGAGAAGCTGGGATGGAGAGACGAGCAGGAGAGGGCAGGAGGGTGGTGCAGGGACACCGAGAGAGGTCCGGGAGGCTCCTTTACCTTCAGGGTCCATGACAGCTCGCAGCTGCGGTGCTGGTGTGTCCACTGCTCAGATCTAGTGTTTGAAGAGACCAGGGGTTGGGGGTGGGGCTCCCAGACGAGAGGAGGAGGGGCCAGTCTAGCTGGCCCTTCCCAGGTTCTCTGGGGCTCCCTCCTGCCCTCCTCCAGGACCCCTGGGGCTGTGCCTACCTCATCTGCTTTCCATCGTCAGAGGAAGTGCTCTCAGTTCCCTAACTCGGAAGCCCTCTCCTCTCTGAGCCAGCAGCCCTGTTCTCACCATATCCCCAGCCCTCCTCAGTCCTGCCCCAGCGTATGAGGCTGTAAAAGTAAGAATGTGCTCCCTTGTGGGGGCTGGAAAGCCTCTTTGATGGTAGGCTGGGAAAATCCTAATTCTATCCTTTTTATCTCAAGCACCTTGTTCTGCGCCTCAGTTTCCTTAGCTGTGACGTCAGATAAGACCTACCTCGTAGGTTCAACCGAGAATCAAGTGAGAAAACTCTGCGAGTTACACAGAGTAGAAACTCGACAAATGTCCGCTTCTCTTCCCTTCCCTCTTCCCAAGGTACTTTAAGGGCACAAGCAGATCAGAACCGGACTTCTGAAGGGGAAAACTGGGAGGCTGCCAGTAACCTGTACTGGGATGTCAGGCAAGTACCCGTCCAACTGCCGAAGATTCCATTTCTTCCTGGGAAACTTTGCTTGCCGGAGTGACTGCCTGCCAAATCCGCTGGCATCTTCCCAGCCTTCCTCCATTTCTTTCTCTGCAGCAGGTGACCTTGCCAGAAATGGGACTCAGGTGAGGCAAGCAGGGCTCCTGGGGTGCAAAATTTAAGGAGGCCTCTCTCTGAGCTTCCGTTTTGCACCTCGGCGCCTTGCTCGCCTCCCTCTAGTCCGGGACTGCTCTTGACAGCCATTCGCCAAACTGTGTTCTCCCTTTCTTTCCTAGACATCATTTTCTCTTGATTCTCTCTTAAAGGCTCTTTCCTGCCTCTTGCAGGTCCTTCTTCCTACATCCAACCCTCAAATTATGGTGTTCCCTCAGTGTGACAGGATTGTTTCTCTTTTTCTCCTGGGCACACAGCTAAACTACATTTCCCAGCTTCCTTTGCACTGAAGCTACCACATGACAGAATTCTGTCCAATGGGAGGTGGACAAAAGTAATACATGTCAATTCCAGACCTGGCCCATGAAAGTCTTCCCATGACCCCCTCCACTCCCTCCTCCCTAGAAATTGACAGAGCCACAGAATGGGCGCTGTGTCCCTGAACGACCTTATGGGAAGTCACCCTCCAAATGCCAGCATTGAACTGTTACATAAGCAAGGGAAAAACTTCTCTTGAGTTATACCCCTGAGATTTTGGGGTTGTTTGTTATAGCAGTTAGCCTGCCCTGACTAACATACTAAGTTTCTCTCCACAGCTCTCTCCTTTCTCATTCTACACAGTAAATGATACAGTTTATGCGTTTATCCACCTACGCCATTATTTAAATTGCTATCTAAATCAGATGACTCTTAAATCTATATCTCCAGCTGTTTTGTGTCAGTCTCAGCCCATCAATAAGCAATGTCGTGGCTGGACCACCCCCTGTGGTTCTTAGTATGATTGCAAGATGTCCTTTAGCAATAACCATCAGGAAACGTTGAAAAAATAAAGGTTTATTACTTACAAGACCTGGAAATTACATAGCACACCTGGGACCACACAGCAAGGTTGTGAGGGGAGAGAGAAAGAATGCAGAGGTCCAGGGTCCTGCTTTTACTGAAGTTGAGGGTGGAGGCCTAGGGTTTTGTGGGCTCACTCTTTATTGGTGCATTTAAAACGTAAGAGCGGGAATTTAAAGCACAGGAAGAGAAAAAAAAACAGCGCCTGATGATCAGTTATTGAAATTAACCGAGACCTCTAAAACAAAGGAGCCTCAGTGGGCGGAGGTGGCCTGGTTCTTTATCTGGTTGTGTGACTGGCAGCCTGTTTATTTGAGATAGCCCTCTTTGAAGTGGATGTCTCTTTGAAGTGAATGCCTTGGCAATCAAAGCTTAAGTCAGGCTCTTGCATTACAAAAAAGAAAAAAACAACAATTGTCAGGGCTTACACTACAACAGTTCTGACCTCCCTCCCAAGTTCCAGGTCTCTACTCTAACCATCTCCAAAATGTCCCTCCAGACAGTTCTAAAAATGAGCTCATTTTGTTTTCCCCCAAAACTGCTCGTCTCTCTGCATTTCCACATAATGATGTCAGCATCTCAATTTCCCAAGATAGAAACTTTGAAGTCTGATCTCATTTTCCCCCCAATCACCTCAACAGCCAATTAGTTCTAAAATCTTATTCTCTGAAAAAGAATTTTTTAATACATAGAATAAAATAATATGTAATTTTCAAAAAGTCTTATTCTCTGAATAAATACATTTCAAATCTGACCTCTTCTTTCACCTTAGGCCAGACTCCCACTATATCTAGAATGACTCTCATCTTGGGCCACACTGCTAGATGCCAGGTTCGCTCAAAAGATAGATCTGATCTTGTCATACGTTTACTTAAAAAACGTGGTTTGTTTATTCATTAATTCATCTATCCCTCCATTCAGTGAACACATATTAGATAGATACTCTGTGCCAGGCCATGGACTCTGGAGCCCCAGGGGTGACACATGTACTTGGAGGGGCTACACTTTCACATAATTGCAGCCAGTTGTTCTGTCACATAAGGCACTGTAGGAGTGGACAAGAAATGTTTGGGGTGGAGGCAGCAAGGGCAGCTTCTCAAGGTAGTGACATTTGAGTTAAATCTTGACTGTTGAGGAGGAGTTTGGCGGGACGTCAAGATGTGTGTGTTGTAGGGCAAGCTGAGGGTGTACTAGCTTCAGGCAGAGCTTGCAAAAGTGCAGGAAAGACTATGTGACCCTCTCTATGGCCAACACCTCTTGGGATCTGGGCCATGGTCCAGCTTGGATGTCTAGATGCCACAAGCTAGGCAGGCAGGTGCTGACCACCCTAGGGGGCTGAGATGCACGGGCACCCATTGGCAGCTCATTGTCGGGAGCAGGTAGATTGTCTCCAAATTATCCTGGGTTTCTGACGTCTAATGGCTCTACCCCAAGCCACCCCAGAACAGGACAGTCACCCACTGTTTGGGCTCCTCCACCAATACCCTCTTGGAGTTTGAAAGCTTTCTCTCTGGTTTTGATTGGGGTCTACTTTTGTTACTACTTTGGGAATCTTCCAACCTTCTGATTGTATTCCTCTCTTGTCCTGTTAACAGTCCTGGCTTGATCTGCCCTCTGGCACAGCGGCTGAGCTTGGGGCTCAGGAATGGGGTCTGTTTCCCATTCCCTCAGCCCAAGTGGTCAACTCTGCCTATGGCCCCCAGCTAGCCCTTCCTTCACAGGTTCTTCCTGCCACACTGAATGAGAGTAAGGTCAGAAACGGGGATGCAGAGGAAAGTTAGATGTAAATGTCCATTTTTAGAAATGAAATGTCCTTAGAACCATGCCTGGAGGCCCTTTTCCTGTCTGGAAAAGTGAACCACATTAATAGATTTCTCAAGGCCTCCCCTGTCCAAATCCTTCTTCCATCTGGAATTTTCATTTTGGATGACAAAGCTTTACTTGTAACCATGATCTCAATGTGCGCTTTTGAGAATAGAATGGAAATATATATTTTAAAATGAAAGATGAAGTATACTTCACTGTACATGCTTGTGTGTGTGTTATTTAAGAAACTAGAATGTGCCGGTAATTAACTTTTGCAAAACAAGTAATTAACATTTTATTGTCCAGACAAGATAAACATTTTCAACTATACTCCTACACACACACCAAGAAAAACACATGGCATGTTCAGGAAGCCTACATGGAATCCGATGAGGGTGGAGGGCGTAGAGCATTTGGGCCAGGGCCTGAGCTGGCGGGCCAGGTCTGGAAGGGGGTCTTATCCTCCAAGCTAAGGAAGGTGGGCTCTATCCTGATGGCCTTGGGGGCTGCAGGGGTAATCTGGACGGAGTGGTCTTTTAGAAGGGGCACTGGGACCATCATGGGCAGAGGATAGATCGGATTGGGGGAAGGAAGCTGAAAGGGAAGTCTCGGCAGGATCAGGCAAGGTGTGATGGGGCCTGGAGAGAAGGAAAGACGCCCAGGGGCTGTGGAAGAAAAATCAGCTGAACTTGGCATCCAGGGAGCGAGGACAGGGGAGAGAATGGGGCTTGATGGTGGTTTTGACGTGTTTTGCCCCATGATAGTGTCTACCACTTGCTGAGACCCGGGAAGAGAGGAGAACAGACATGGTTTGCTGACTTCCCCACTGCTGTTAGAAGGGAATTCAAACTCTGGAGCTCTCATAGCATGGCTCCCATCTGCCTTTCCAGCCTCATGTCCCACATCCCTCCTGGAACCGGACACACACCCCCGTTAATACTTTTGTTAATATTTTTTCTGATTGTAAAAGTGGTAGATATTTATTTTATAAAATTTGGAAAATACAGAGAAGTATAAGCAAGATAAAAAAATAAAAATCACCTGTATACCTATTACCTTACAGACAATCACAATAAACATTTGGGATATTTCCTTCAAATCTTTTTTTCTATAAAAGTCTAAGGTTTTGCATTTTTATTACAAAACTAGAATCATATGTATTTGTAGATTAGTAACTAACTAGCTTTTTTCCCACTTAACATTATATTGTAGACATTTTTCAAAGTCATTAAATAGTTTTTGAAAGCATGACTTTTAGCAACTACAATAAGTTTAATAAGCCATTTACAATTATTTTCATAACTAATATGTTTGGTCCTCACCATATTTTACATTTCCTTATTGTTTCTCTCTGGCCTTTTATTTTTCCTTTTGGTCTTACAAAATCTACTGATTTCTTTGCTTTTTTTCCCTCTAGAGAATTGAAAGGCATCCATTCTGTGTTTGTTCAAAGAAGAATCTACATTGAATTGCTTGTTCTTTCCTCACTGGGCCTACGCAAATCCCCTCCAATGAGGGTGCCCTGCCCCCCTTTCAGCCTGACAAAGTCCTTCTCAGCCTCCAGAATCTCTGAGGAGTCATCTCCGTTCATTCATTCATTCATAGGAAAATTTACTGAGGACCTTCTCCATGCCAGGCACCACAGCCACCAGCACATCAGTGAATATGACAAAGACCCTGTGCAACTTAAACTCTTGGGGGCAGCCTCCTACCCTATCCCCAGGAGCAGTGCAGCACTCCCTTCTCTTTTTTTTTTTTTTTGAGGAAGATTGGCCCTGAGCTAACATCCGTGCCCATCTTCCTCTACTTTATATGTGGGACGCCCACCACAGCATGGCTTGACAAATGGTACATAGCTCCACGTGTAGGATCAGAACCAGTGAACCCCGAGCACAAAGCAGAGCGCACAAAATTATCCGCTGTGCCACCAGGCCACCCCGGCACTCCTTTCTGTCGATGCACTCATAAAATTTTTTTGGTGCCTCTATTTGAACACTTTTCACATATTTTGATATTTTCCAGGCTATGAGACCCCTAATGGATGCCTTACCCACTCCCACCCCATTTCCTTCAGGATTCGCCCAGGACCCAGAAGCCAGTCATAGTTCAGAAAATGACTGCATGCATCTATTGAGGGGGAAAGGAGGAGCTGATGGCCTCTGAGATCAGCAACAATATTTTCTATGCCTGAAATTAGGGCACTTGGTCTGACAAATCTAAGACAACACTTGTGGTGTCCACAAGGGACATTTGGAACTCACTTGTGCTATGCCGAGGCCACAGTTAGCCCTAACAGTGCCTTGTGAGAAGTGGGAAAAGGTGCCCACACATGCCCCGTGGGTGCCTAGCCTGGCTGGTGAGAGCTAGACTTTCACACCAGCTCAGCCTGTCCCACAGACCAGGCACAGGTGGCACAACTGCATGGTGGCCAGGTGGATCTGTGGCCACTTTCTGCCTCTTCTGTCCCTCATCCCCCACCATGAACGGACTCACTTGGGCCCTTCGCCTCTCTCCTGCCTCCCCACCAGTCCAGGCCACACGGCAGTCACACTCATGCAGTTCCCATTGGCCTCTCTTTTTGTAGGTCAGTCTGTCTGCTCTTGGCCACTGCACCCTCTGACTCAATAACTTCCTCTTTGCAAATTTCCTCTTTGCCTTGAGGAAACACCAACTGCCAATGGCCCCTGTGGCCCCCTGGGCTCTGGCCCGGGCTGGGCTCAGAGACAGTGCAGTTGGGTCTTGTTCTCTCCATCCCAGAGCCTGGAATATGGAATATGGAATATGGAAGTGTCTGGTTCTGCAAGCCTGTCACTGCTTCTCATTTAGCTCACTCACTGATTCGCCTTAGAGAACGGAAGAGGAGATATAGACAAACAGATTAAACATGTCACAGCGTCAGCAAGACCCTGCTATTGGGTCTCCCCTCTTGTGGGTGCTGGGGTGGGGGAGGTTTGAGGGAGGGACATAGCGGCTGAGCTGAAGAGCCACACTCAGGTCACACATGCAGTCTTTCTGTCAAACTGGCATTCTTTATTGGGCTGCAGACAGAGTTAAATGCGCTACTTCTACCCCAGCTGAGCAAGGATGCGGCACATGCTTTCTCAGGAGTTCCTCAAGTCAGCAACTGCTCAGCCTCTGCAGCCCTTCCTGCCCCCTCCCCCATACCGTCTGTACTCACCACTGCCCTTCACAAACATCGCTAAATCCTTGCCTCTTGTGCACAGACTGCACCCATGAACGGACACATGCAGGTGCTGGGGCTTCTGAGAACTAGACCTGCCCAGAAACTCTTCTTACCTCTGCCCTTGGGAGGAGAAATAGCTGAAGCCTCTGGTTGCCTCAGTCCATAGGTGGGGGAGAGTGTGGTGGCTTGGGCTGTGGGCAAGCCTAGAGTCCACGCGCTCTCACAGGCACATCCGAGAGCACACCTAGAGATGCCACTCAGCCCATGCTCCAGACTGGCGTGGCACAGAGCACTGGGGGCCAGGGTTAAAGGAGGTTCATGAGCTGACCCAGTAGGACTGTCCTAACCTATGGGGCCAAATGCACTTTCCAGAGTAATCCTAGAAGAGAGTTTGCTGGGTTGTCATTTCCTTCTTCTTCCCAGACTCTGGTACCCCTGGGGAATCCTCTGAGAAATCATAGGTCAAGGAAGTTTGGCATAATGGAAACTCAACTGCTGGTTTCAGAGACAAAAACATGGAGAAAAGGCGATTGGGAGAAGTAGTGGTTGATGAGGCAGGTTTGCGCATTCCGTGGGTGTAGGCCCTGACGTAGGTGGTGGTTCAGATGCTGGCTGTGGATGCTGGCTGGAAGGTCCAGGGTTAAGAAGCTGGATGAGGATTCAGCGTGAAGATGCTGGGTGAAAATCCAGAGGACGCTGGGTGACAGTGGCTTGGAAGTGATGATAGGAGGGAAGGTGATGAAAGCTCAAATGATTCTGGCCTCCAGTCTTGTTATTTGCAAGCTCTAAGAGGTTTCTACAACTCCTGCTTCTGCCCATCAGAAGTGGGGGCCTCCACAGCCCCATCTTCGCTGCCCACCAGTGGCTCCTCCTCTCCCTTTAGGCTGCAGGCTGACCCAGCCTGGAGCTCCTCCAGTGCCAAGGAGCCCTGATGAGACTTCTTCCTACCGAAGAAAGTGGTGAGTGTGGGCCGCCGGCTAGATCCCTCCCCTTCGGGGGCCACAGAGCCCTTGTCCCCCTCAGACACTCCTGCTGTTGCTGTCATGGCCTCCTCATCATTCACCCGGGCTAGCCCAGCCCAGGCATCCATCACCCCATTGCGCTTTCCACTGCTGCTCAGCATCAGCTCCCCTGTCCTCCGCTTCCGCCGCTGGTGCCACAGCACAAGTAGTGCCATGAGGACAATGACCACCAGCAGGGCCACAAGCGCAGCCACCAGCAGGGTGCCATTTTTTCCCTGACTTGAAATTGGCGGGGTGCTACTGCGTGTGCTTGTGGAGGTCTTTGGGGTAGTCGTGGTGGATCTTTTTACCCTGATGTTGCTGGTGTCACTGGTCCCCTTGTAGGTCTCCAGAGACCTAGTTGTCGTGGTGACAGGAAGTCCACTGGTTTCCTTGGAGGTCTCCAGAGAGCTAGTTGCCATGGTGACATGGGGTCCTCTGGTCACACTGGGGGTCACCAGAGAGCTAGTGTTCATGGTGACAGGAGCTCCACTGATCACATCAGATATCTTCAGAGAGCTAGCTGCTGTGGTGACAGGGGGTCCACTGGTCACACTGGAGGTCACCAGAGAGCTAGTTTTCATGGTGACAGGGGCTCCATTGATCACACTAGATATCTCCAGAGAGCTAGTTGCTATGGTGACAGGGGAAGCACTGGGTACACTGGAGGTCTCTAGAGGGATAGTTGCCATGACAGGGAGTCTACTGGTCCCACTGAAGGTCTCCAGGAAGCTAGTTACTGTGGTTCCATCAGTCGTAGCATGGAATCCCAGAGAGTTCATTGCTGAGACAGCAGGGTTACTGGCTGCATTAGAGATTTCCAGGAGCGTTGATGACTTTTCGGTGGAAACTTCATCGGAGGTTGTTGGCTCAGGTACAGAGAGGCCACTGGTGGCAGCAATGGAAGTCTCAGGAGAGGATACTTCATTGACTGTATAGGGAGTTGAGGAAAGAGGAGAGCTCTCATGCCTGGTGCCGTCACCTTCATCTGGGTCCCTCGTTACTGTAGTGTTGGAGGTCACTGAGTTGAGTTTTGGGGCCTCTGTGTTATCTGAGGCCAAAGAAACAGAAGACTGTCTGGGTGCAGATGTCTGCAAAGTAGTTGTAGTCTCCAGAGAGTTCACCTCTTGAGTCCAGAGGCCCCCAAGGAGGAGGAGAAGCAGGATCATTTTCACAGCAACAGGCATGAGCAGGAGTTTGGACCTGAGGGTGAGGAAGTTGGAGAAATAGAACACACAAGGACCTGGGGGAGGATCTAGCCGGGCTCTCCCCTCCTGCCCACTTCCCTGCCAACTGCCGGGCCAAACTTGAGGTTTAACGGCTTTTTCCACCCTTGCTTTTTACCATTATCAGAAATAACAAGGGAGCAGATGCTGGCAGCTCCCCCATCAATTCTATCCCATGGCCCCAACTTAGGCCTTGACAGCTTGGACCCCAGCAATGGCCACCCCTTCTGGCCTTCCCTGACCCTGTTCAGCCCTGGTGGCTCCTGATCCTCTTTTCCCATCACCTATCAGGGTCTTTCCAAGCCATAGGCACATTCCCAGGTTTGCTGAAGCCCTTGCCCCACCAAGCTGGACCCACTTACCAGCTCACTTGATAAGAGCACAGGGCTGGGGCCAGGTCGCTCCAACTCTTTCTGAGGCTAGGGCAGGAGTGGGGAGACAGGGCCCCAAGGGTAAAGGAAGTGGCCCTGGCTCCACCCACCCCACCCCACCCCACCCTAGCATCCTGCTCTACCCGCCCTGCTCCCACAGCTGCCATACGATGAGAGCACCATTACTATCTCTTTCCGGGGTCTGAGATGGTGCCAGGGGCTCTGGGGTCCCAGCTGAGGCAGGTGGGGGTGGGGGGGTCTGGAATGCGGATTCCTGGGTCTTAGCTGGGGAATGGAATTGCAAGGGGTGAGGGTGGGTCAGAACAGGGGTGATGAGAATGTATGCTTGAAAACTAGGGGGTGTGGGGGAGGAGATGGGAGGGGAGAGTGGTTTCCTTTGCATTTGCCATCCCCAAGCTGTTAGGCCAAGACCCAAGGTGGCACTGCCCCAAAAGTTCCCCGGAAGTCCCAGTGCAAGAGGAAGCCCCCGACTCTGGCTGGGGGCAGTGAAAGCCTTTGCAGGCTGCATGTGATCCCTGCTGAGTTCTTCAGGACTTCTCAAGGAGCTGGGGGTCACCACAATGGCCCCCAGCTGTGAGCTGCTTAACTAAGTGAAGGTGGGAATTAAACACTGCATACACTATGATCTTATTTTTGTAGAAGACTAATAAAGATGTGGGAACCTATATGGAAAACAGTCTGGAAAGACAGTTCCCAATCCAACAGACTAGAAAGATGGAAACAGTCTGAAATTAACCAAGTTTCTTTGGATAAATATGAGTAGTTCATTGTCTTTTTTGGATGGCTGCTGTTTTCTGACTTTCTTCTAATTTGTAAGCTATGACTTTTGGTGCATGTGTGGTTTTTTGGTTTTGTTTTATTTCGTTTTTTGCCTTTCCTTAAAAAAAACAAACGAACTGATTTTTGTATTGTAAAAGTGATAATACATGTGCGTGATGGAATACTGAAACACACCAGCGTCGGGGCCCGGGCTCGTGCCCACACACAAGCCAATGAGTTAGTCTGACACAAAGATGTGAGACCACAGGCCAGGGAGGCAGGACACCATTACTCACCACACAGCAAGAGCAGTACGAATGTTATGTTTGCATCAATTCTCCCTGCCCTCAAGTCTCACAGGGGCGACACAGAGGGGCTTGTCCTGCAGGCGAGGAACACTGAGCTTGGGGGACTCCCTCTTTCAAGCAGGTGGTAAGCAAGCCTACTCTTTGTCCTGAAGGGAGGCATTACTTCATCCCTCACCACCCTGAGAAATAGCCTGGATATAGAGTGGTCAGGACCTTCATTCTTGGCTTATCAGCAAGTTGCGCCAGGATGCTCAGGGCCGTGGGTAGACACCTCTCCCAACAGTCAGGAGATATAACGGGAAAGGCTTTGTACCGCCACCACCAGATAGACACACCGTAACAATGGCTGGTAGACGCGTATATGCATGTATTTTATTATATTAGATTTTATTATCCATACTGTTCTGCACTTTTCTTTTTTGAGGAAGATTAGCTCTGAGCTAACATCTGCCGCCAATCCTCCTCTTTTTGCTGAGGAAGACTGGCCCTGGTCTAACATCCCGTGCCCATCTTCCTCTACTTTATATGCGGGACGCCTACCACAGCGTGGCGTGCCAAGTGGTGCCATGTCTGCACCCAGGATCTGAACCGGTGAACCCCGGGCTGCCGAAGTGGAACGTGCACACTTAACCGCTGCTCCACCGGGCCAGCCTCCGCACTTTTCTTTTTTTACTGAACAAAAGAAAGGAAGAAAGGAAACCACTCCATTGTCAAATATTTAGGTTGTTTCAACATTTTGCTATCTCAAACAGAAAAGTAGGAATAATTGGCTGCAAAGTAATTACAGGGTAAAACAATTTTTTTTTTTTGGAGGAAGATTAGCCCTGAGCTAACTACTGTCAATCCTCCTCTTTTTGCTGAGGAAGACTGGCCCTGAGCTAACATCTATGCCCATCTTCCTCTATTTTATATGTAGTACGCCTACCACAGCATGGCTTTTGCCAAGTGGTGCCATGTCCACACCCAGGATCCGAACCGGTGAACCCCGGGCCACCGAGAAGCGGAACGTGCACACTTAACCGCTGCGCCACCGGGCTGGCCTGTGGGCGTTTTGGATTAATGCATTGAATAAAGAAAGAACCTATGGGTTCATACTGATTCTGAAAATATTAGAAAGAGACAAAGAGTGAAGGAGGAAGGGAGAGGGTGGGAGGGAGAAAGAAGAGCCAGAAATGTTCTTTTATATTAGGAAAGCTAACTGACAATTGTAGAAGGAATGTAGAGTTTTAAAATGACCAATTTGCAACCACCATAATAATCATTTATTCAGATATGAATGGATGTTAAAACCATTGGGTGAAATTGGGGTGACGGGGAGGGGTACAAATAGGATATTTTTATAGTTTTAAACTATCTCCCCACAAGGTATGTATTCATTACCAAGGAAAGGTAGCAACTTTTCAGTGGAGAAATCTAACAGACACCATCTTAACCAAGTGATCAATTAACATCACCAGTAATGGGGCAAGCCAACATCAGGTGGCTCCAGATAGAACACACTGAGAAGAACATGACATCGCTTTTGTGGTAATTTTAGCAAAAAATGCAGAACCTGAATCTAACTGTTAAGAAATAGGAGGCAAACCCAAATTGAGGGGTGCTTTACAAATTGATCTGTACTCTTTAAAAATGTCAGAGTCAGGAAGGACAAGGAAAGTCTGAGACATTCTTCCAAATCTTAAAAGAGTAAACAGATGTGACAACTAAATGCAATTCGGGATCCTGGATTAGATCCTGGACTGGGAAAAAAGTGCTGGAAAAGATACCATGGGAATAAGCGGCAAATTCGAATACAGACTGTACAGTAGTTAAGAGTATTAACGTTAACTTTCCTGAATTTGGTGAGCATATTATGGTTATGAAAGAGAATGTCCTGGTTCACAGGAAATGCATGTTTGAAGTATCTAAGAATGAAGGTGTACAATGCGGCAAATTCCTCTTAAACAGTTCCACACAAATAATATCATAAGAGATAAAAATAAAGCGTATGTGGCACGATGTTAACAGGTAGTGAAGGAGCTTCCGAGTTGGTGGACCGGTGGGGATGCGGGGGGAGTGGCGCGCTCAGAGAGGGCATGGAAGCTCTGCATACCTTGCCCTGTACCTTGCTCTCTCCATCTCTTCCATCTGGCTGTTCCTGAGTTATATCCTTTTATAAAAAATCAGTAATCTAATATATTTTAACATTTTCCTGAGCCACCATTTCCCTCTATTTAGCACCTGAGCTGATATTTGAGAAGAGCTCAACCATAGAAGGGAAAAGCAGGAATGCATGTCTTGCAAATCTTAATTCTCTCCTCAGGTGCTCATAAAAGAGAAAAAGGCCTCTAGTTACTGACCATTAACAAAAACACCGAATGGAGTCATCCGTTTGGCTGTTTCCCAAAAGCCAAGAACAAAGAAGACCCAGACAAAGCTTCTGAGAACTAGTTTTTAGGATGTATCCAGATGCCATACTGAAAATGTAATTCTACCACCCACCTATAACTTGTTTCAGCATATAACCACATGACACAGGACATGTTTGGCATTGTTTTTTTTTTAAAAAAAAAAAAAGGTAGTGAAGCCATGTAAAGGGTCTATGTGTGCTCATGGTATTATTTTTGCAACTTTTCTGTGTTTGAAATTTTCAAAATAAAACAACATACGAAAAAATAGAAAGATCCAGAATCTGACCACTCTTTCCCACCTTCACTGCTACTCCTCTGGCCCAAGCCTCCTCTTTCCTCACCTGGAACGTTCACCAGTCCCCTCTGTGTGACCTCACCTCCTTCAGGCTCTTTTCCACAGAGCAGTCAGAGGGGCCTGGATCAAATATCTGAGCCTATCCCTTCTCTGCTCTGAACCCTGAGACAATGCCCACCTTACTCAGAGTGAGAGCCCAAGTCCTCAAAATGGCCAATAAAGACCCCCAGGATCGGACTCTCCCTCCCTCTCCTGCCCTCGTTCCCTTAGCTTCTGCCACCCAGGCCTCCACTTCGTTTCCAGAGAATGCAAGCCTTGGGGCCTTCGTGCTGTCCATGGCCCCCTCAAACGTTACCTGCTCAGTATGGCTTTGCCTTCCCACGCTGTTTAAAATTGTACCTCGTCCCCCTGGCCTGCCCGCCCCATCCCCCACCCCTGCTTTCTCTCCATCACTTCCCACCTTCTCAAAAACTGTGTCATTTACTTTCTTATTCTGTCTTTCTGTCCCCACTGGAATGTAAGCTCTGTGAGAGCATGAGTGTGTGTCTGCTGGCCGCTGTACCACCAGCATCTAGAAAGTGCTTGGTACACAGTGGGTGCTCAGTCGTGTTTATTGGCTGAAGAGGGGTTCTCTGGCTGAAAAAAGGAAGAGGGTATCAGGCTGAAGAACTGTACCAGCGCCAGAGAAGGCAAGGAGGCCTGAGACGGAGGAGGCAGTGGTGGGAGGCTTCCAGCACTGGGTGTGCCCTTGAGCTGTGAGGCGCCACCCAGCCCGCAGACCTCCAGGAGGTCATCAGAGGTTTGCATGCTCCGGAGTGATACGACCAACTTGTGTTGCCTCTCCAGGCCCTGCCCCGCACCAGGGTTCAGACTTTCAGCTCTGACCTTCTGCAGATCTTTGAGGAGCCATTTCCTGCCAGACACCAAAGCACACAGGAGCTGGCAGCTGGGAGCCTGCCCCTCCTTGCCCCTGTGCACAAGCCCCGGGAAGCCACAGAAGAGGGGTCAGGGCTACCTGAGCTGTATCACCTACTGTCCATGTGGCCTTGGGTTGGTCATTTCATCTCTCTGCCTCAGTTTCTTCATCTGTGAAATAGGGATAGTAATATTACTTTAAAAGTTCTTGGAGAATTAAATTAGGTAGTGTAGGGCCCGTAGTAAGAACCTAATAAGTAATAGCTGATGTAATAAGAGACTGCTTGTTAAGCCCCATTCTGATCCTTCAGGTCAGAATCCAGGGCTACAGGGATGGGCTGGCTTGGAGGCCTGGGGCCTCTTCTTCGCATCCACAACCCTCTCCAGGAACAGGACT